ATATACTTTATAAGTTCTTATTTGTAAATTAACATTTAAAAGTCACATAGGTAATAAATTTAGTTTTAAAATCACTTTATATATATATATATATATATAATGTAACAGTAACTTGTTAATTATTGAATGATAATTGTTATTTTACAAAGTAAAAGGTTTAAAAATTTATATATTTTTCATAGTGTTGACCTGTTAATTAATTATTAGTACTTGTTATTTTATTAAGTTTATTTGTTAATGAATTTTTAAGCCTCTCAATCAATAATTGACCATGTTAGATGTAACATCCCAATTTAAATTTTAATAATTAATTTAGATTAATAGAAATTTAAAAAAAATATTTAGAGGTAAGCAAATTAGTAAAAAATAATTATTAAATCTAATTTAGGATATAATTCTAAAAAAATTAAAAAAAATTATTTAAAAAAATTAATTAAAAAATAATAAAAAATATTATTAAATTATCATTATAATAAAAAAAGAAAAGGTATTTTAAAAAAAAGGAAGAAGAAGAAGAAAAACGAGTTTGCTTTCGGCGGCCGCAATGATTACATGTAAAATAGTAAAAAAGAAAAAAAAGGAAAGAAGAGAGAGGAAAGGGAAAAAATTAAAAAAAAAAATTGTGGGACCCACATTTATTTTTAAAAACCACCGTTCTCTTCTCATTTTCCTTCATTTCCTTCCTCTTTCGCGTGCAATCAGAGAGAGCATCTGTGAGCGTGAATCGCTGGTGCGGAAGATCTGAATTTTTAATAGGATATTTAGGGTGTGATTTTAAGCTTTTCAAGACTAAGTAAGTGTTTTAAAAATTTTTCTTAGTCATCCTTCTTCTTTGATTTCTGAGTTTGTAGTGGTAGAAAATTTAAGATCTGGAAGAGGGATGAATTTATGTTGAATAAATATAATTTTTGAGGTTGTCAGTAGTATAATAAATGTTCTAGAGTATAAATTTGTTGATGATCTTTGAATTTATAGCTTATGGATCAAATTCTAAACTAGATCTGAAAATATATGTTGATTTATTGAGGTTTAGATGATTATTTGGGATGAGAAATGAACTATTATGGCTATAGGATTATGATTCTAAATTAGAGACTCAATTTTTAATTTTTGAGTATTTTAGGTACGAATTTATAAAATAAAAAAAATTTGATAATAGAAATTAGTTTAGAAGTTGATTTTTAGATTATTAATGTTTATTGATAATTAAAAGAGGAGTTAAAAATTTTACTTAATAGTATTAACTCTAGATTTGTATTAAAATTGAGATTAGGAATTATGTTATATTTTTAATTCTATTATTAGAATTATTTTATTAGTTTCAAAAATTGAAACTAATATTTATAAATAATATGTTATTTGTAGATTGTATTACTGGTGAAGATTGTGGTGAGAGAGAAATTTTAAGAAATAATTTATTGAAAAAGCCACAAGGTAACCATGCTTTTAATTTATGATTTGTGTTACTTCATGTTAATTGGGTGATTATTAAGAAAATTATAAATTTTGTAATATTATATAATTGTGCAATATTATTATGAATTTGTTTGATTATTGTGGGAGGTGTTGGAAGACTTGCTATTATTGTTGTATTTATGTGCCACGTGGTACACCCCTATTGGAGCTCAATAGGTGGTTTGTAAGGGCTCGGGCTAATCTACCTTTAGCCGGGTAATTTAGCATCGAGTGTGGGCTACGGCTCGAGATTAATGGAGGGATATAAGGATGGTTGTTTGTGTATATTGTAATATTTCTTATATTTGTTGGAATTATATTATTTTTAATTCTCACTTAGTAAGCACACACTTAACTATTTGTATACACTATCATAAATTGGCTTTGGTTACTGGGACTTTTGAGTCTCATTATGTGATTAACAATTTTTAGGAGAAGAGCCACGAGTGACACATGGAAGAGTCCCAGAGGCTTAGTGGTATAGATCCACTGTCTCTTTTGGGTATTTAATTTATGATTTATAATGTGTTATATTGCCAATATTAGGGCTTTTTGTTTATTGTCAATTATATGAATATATAAATGTAATCATGCCTTTCAAACTATTTCTATTTTTGGTACAATTTGGATGACTGTAATTTTAATATTTGGTTTACTTTGGATTGGTTAAAATGACATGATTATAAAGCCAAATAACTGGCTTGTGTTGAAAATTTATTAAATTGCTTATTTTACTTGTTGGGAGTATAAGGATGGACAAATGTGATTTAGTTTACTTGTTAGGAGTATAAGGATGGACAAATGTAATTTAGCCTAATGGCATGTGGGAGATAAAAATTTATCTGAAATGTTATAGTGCGTGAGTTGAAGCCAATTATAAAATATTTTATATTAAAATTATTGATATAAAAATGTGTTGGGTGGTTGTAACCCAACTATGGTTGAGTTAAATTATTTTTAAAAAAAATTTTGGTGTGTTACATTAGATTAACAAGTAAAGTTTGAAAAATGACAACTACTATTCAAGAATTAACAAGTCACTTTTATACTATAAAAAAGTGGTTTTGAAATTAAATCTATTACTTATGTCAACAAGTTATTTTAATGACCTCTAAATGTAAATTTATAAATGAGAATTTGTAAAGTATATGAATTTTTAAGCTTCCCAATTTATAATTGGTTATGTTAGATTAACATGTAAAGTTTGAAAAATAACAAGTATCCCTTAGATATTAACAAGTTACTATTATGCTATACCAAAAAAGTGGTTTTAAAATTAAATTTATTACTTCTATGAACATATTTTAATGACATTTAAATATCAACTTACAAATAAAAACTTGTAAAGTATATGAAATTTTAAACCACCCAATTTATAATTGGTCATGTTGGATTAGCAAGTAAATATGATAAAATAATAACTTCTTGTTCGAAAATTAACAAACCATCCTTGAAAGTGGCCTGAAAATTTGGATTACTACGCATATTATTTTTTCTTAATATTATTATGAGATAGTGCAAATAAATTTTCAACAACAGAAAATGGAGCATTTGGCACCTTCCACCCATTTTGATCGAACGGTCATTTGTTGAGCCATTATTTGACTGGGAAAAAAAAGATGGCGTGCCACGTGTAGTCCACCCACTGAACCTTCTGTTTACACTATCATTCTCTCCCCTTCTCCCTTCCATGACGCCAAAGCTTGCATTATTGCTTGCTAGAAACCTCCGTTTAGTTGTAACTTCCATTCGTCGATGACACAAGCTAAATCCAGCCAAGCATCCAGAACTATGTTTCCTCGCAGCCGAGGATGAGAGATGGCCATTGTGTTGGCTAAGATGCTATCTCACATTGTTGCTCACCGATTCTGCCAAATCGGCCGCCCATTATTTATATAACCCCTTCTTCTTCTTTCACCAAGACTTAGCTTACTTCATCCTCTTCACTCCCTATTTCTGTTGGAATAAGACCATAAAGACTTCAAGTTCACCATCTACGGCAGCATGCATGACTGACGCGGCTCAAGCCGCTGTCTGCAGAAATGGAGAAGCTGTGACTCACCTGAAAGTGATATCATCTTCATGGTTTTCTTCACCAGTATGTTCAGCATGTCATTGCCGATGCTATTAGCTCAATATTTCCTAGGGAAATCACAAAGACTAGTCTTGCAAGTTCTGGAAATGGGAATAATCTTTCATTTTGTGATAATCGGAGTGACGATGGGAATGTCTCAGAATGTTTGCACCGTTAGGTCTTTCGTTGCCGATTTGGCATTTCATCAAATTTTCAAAGGAATGGGTCTCAGTGGTCGCGTCTTGTAATCCTTCTATCTGCTATATTGCAACCTTGGCTGAGTTCTTGTGCTAGGAGAATGTTTGCTCTGTACATAGGTGCTGGGAGAAGATGAGATGTGTGGGGAGAGAGAGAGAGTGCAAAGCAGAGAAAGCCGGGCGGGGGTGGGTCCAATAACTTTAAAAATAAATAGACGTTTGTACAAAAATTAATGGAAAGTGTTAGATGTCTCATTTTTTTATACTTGATAATTTTTTTACACCATCTTATAATTTAATTTATTCAATATTTTTTAAAAAATAATTTATGACTTAATTTATACTCTTACTCTATTATTAAATAGATTTTGTAGTTTGATGGCTATAATTTTTTTTTTTCATAACCAGGGGTTACGGGTTTAAATTTTTCCTTGACCATCTTTTCTATCAATTAATTGGTCACCGTGTCAGAGCTTAGGTGACTAGTCATTGTTAGTCCAGTGGCTGGCGTAGGTCACTATAGGATTCATTTTTTTTTTTTTTAAGGCAAGGGTTTTTTTATTTTTTCACACTTAAAATTATTTATAATTTAATCCAATGGTCTTGCGGTGTAAAGTCAGATTGCCTTGATCTTTTTCTGTAAAAATATTGTTCAGATATCCACGATCGTGAGTTTCCCCAAAAACCCTCTATTGAGGTCCGGCCATTTATATATGTCTGCCTACGGTTAGGGGGTTAATAATAACGCATGCATAGTTGTTGGTTAGTTGAAACAAACCCATCTTTCTGGACCTGTGAATGTTGCTTTATTCAATTAGGATACCATTCCTAACCCCACTGATCGACACAGCAAAAATTTTATTACAAAACTGACAAATCAATTAGATTGGTGCTATGGACAGAGCATTTGATTGACAGTGACGCCAATCAATTCTGATAAATTGAACCTCGGGATACTATTACTAGCAAATACATCTTGTTGAACGATGGGAAAAAAAATTCTCAATTGCAAGCGTGGTGTAATTTGAGATTTTTTTTTTTTTGGTTAAAAAAATAGGATGAGTAGAATTTTGGGAGCGCATGGGGTAGAGCTCACAGCTTAAAGATATGTCATACATAATAAGCCTAATGGGCCTATTCTCGGAGAAAACCCACCAATCGGCCCATCGTTGTCATACAGAAAAGCGCCTTCTATGAGTCCATTTCCAAGTCAAGGCCAAAAAAAAAAACAAAAATAAAAACGCCCGTGTGTTTCAAATTGACGTAAACATTTGAAAATTGAAATATATATTTTGGAAATCTGATGAGGGGCTTTCCCACCTTCTGATCTGAAGTCCCTTATCCGCGGCAATTCGGTAGAAGAAGAGTTCAGGAGAAGAATATGGCGGGGACTTTATCAATGACCTATCCAGCAAGTGCCATTTTAATTTCTGGTTCGTCAATATCCAAATCTGGTGCTGTCTTTCTCTGTTTGTAGCTTCAGCGAGATCCTTGTTCCAGTTGTTTGCTAGCTCTTTAACCACTGGAGTTTCCGATGACTCGGAACGTAACAGTGGTTTCAGGATTAGTAGATGCATTCTCTTGACGACTCGGAGCATAATGATCATTCGGATTGATTTTCAGGAAACAGGTTATGCAATACTGCTAGAAAACGAAGGGAAACAGCGATGTCTCTTGGAAGCAACAAAGATAGGCCAGAAGTGGTTGTTGAATCAGGTGATCAAAGGCTTTACCTAGGTCTGGACTTTGGCACATCTGGTGCGAGGTTCGCCGCCATTGACAAGGACGGCACAATTCAAGCCGAGGCTAAGAAAGAATATCCTTTGTACAAGGCACGTATCTCCCCCCCTCCTTCATCCTTCTGCTCTGTTCAAATTCTCACCTAGAATCTTCTGGCGAGAATATTATAATTCGATGCTATATCATGTTTTTGAACAGATAATTAATAATTTCAATTATAATTAACATGGTTTTAGATTTCTGAGAAACTGGATTAGTTGTATCACTATAATTTTTTGTTAGGCTGATAATTTGTATCACCTCAAATTAATGATACTCAGAGTTCTAAATTGCTACTCAAACAATATAGTTTTCACTTCGATGTTTCATTTGTTATAAATCTCAACGAATTCATGAGAAGAATGCAATTATGCATGAAGCAAATATATGATACGCTGCACCATTGAGGCACCCATGGCACGGCAAAAATATTAAATGCGCAGCGGCCGCAGTGTATTTTGAAATGTTCATCATCAATCTTATTTTATAGGCCCTAGTGCTTTGTAGCTTGTACGCAAACAATTGAAATTCCGGCCCATGCGGCATAAATCTCACTAAATTTACTGGAAGAATGTAATTACCACGTGCATTACATGTTAAAAGCACGGATACGAGTCAGCATGAAGATCTCGCTCTTGTTCAACAATAGGAAGCTGTACAGGATCTTCTCTCCAGAGGAAAGAAGACACGACGTCAGAGGATATTAGGAGGAGATTGAACAACTCATGTCCGAGTTCAGCTCTTCTTACGTTGGCGTTGTCCCTGTTGTAATTAGGAAGTGGTGGTTAAATTATCGTCATATTATAGGTTTTATTTAGGTTTTTTTTTAACCTCTGTCAGATGTTAATGGCCGTTGGGCTTGCTGTTAGTTGGTTGTTGAGTATTGTATTTGTTCAGTTCATTAAAAAATAAAAAAAAGCACAAATACGAGACCCAACGCCATAGAGATTCCATGAAACTCCAGTGCAGAAGCATGCAGTTTCCTATATTCAATTTGTTGAGTCCATACTCGGACACGATGCATCTTGTTTCATAAGTATCGGTGCTTAATAGATTTTATGCTACTAATATTACTGTCAAGGTAATGGAATTCATGTTTCTGTTGTCTAGAAAGAGTGGAGAAACGCAGGACTGGGTACGGTCATGGAAAGAGACACTATTTTTGCTACTTGAAGACATTCCACTTGATGTCCGGAAACATATTGTGTCCATTTCTATTGATGGGACTTCTGCGACTACGCTCATTGTTGATAGGTGGAAGACTTGCATTTTGTTGCTTTTCAATTTATATCTTGTTCTATATTAAGACTATATCTGAAGAAGGATATGAATGGAGTATTGCAGGGATACGGGACAACCATTATGGAGACCTTTCCTTTACAATGAGAGTTGTCCTGATGCTTTACCAATGGTAAAATCCATTGCTCCTCCAAATCATACAGTTTGCTCTGGCTCTTCCACCCTGTGCAAGCTTGTGTCGTGGTGGAACCATGTTGATTCAAACAAAAAATCTGCTCAGCTGCTGCACCAAGCAGACTGGCTTTTGTGGCTTCTTCATGGAAAGCTTGGGGTTTCAGATTATAACAATGCTCTGAAGGTATAATTCAGTGTTTTGACTTTTGTCACACTTAGAAAGTTTGTTAATATTAATTATTGTCTGTGATAAAATTTCTATTTTGGAAAATCCAATCATTTTCCAATGTTTTGCAGGTTGGCTATGATCCCGAAGTGGACTCATATCCGGCATGGATAGTCCGTCAGCCATATTCTCATCTTTTGCCTTCCGTTGTAGCTCCAGGAACTCCAGTTTCATATCTAAAAGAGGACATTAGAACGAAATTTGGTATGCTTTCCCTTTTCTAATACACTTGTAGCTGAAACTAAGTTTAAAGAATTTGTATCCCATTTGAGAATTACGAGTCCTTGAAAACATTGAACTCAAATTGATTTGATAAGTTAACAACTAAGAAATTAAACCTGTCACCTAGCTTGCAACTAAATATCAATAGCCGATTCCTATTGCTAAGCTGATTCATCCGACTTCCACACGTTTCGTGCTAATCAAAATGTCGGTGCTTAGAAGTTGAGATTAATGTATACTGGTAATAGAGTGCATATCATTTCAGGTTTTCAAGAAGACTGTGTAGTTTGCGCGGGAACCACTGACAGTATAGCTGCATTTCTTGCAGCCCGTGTCTCTCAACCTGGGGATGCTGTAAGCATTTTACTGCACTTGTCTTTCTTTAATTATCAGCTATTTCTGTTGACAAAAAGTAAATCATCAACTATTCCAATCTATCAGATTTTGAAAAATACATAATATTTTCACAGCTAATCTTTGTATGCCTTTTTGCATCCAAGCAAGATGTATAACATGCATTCATGATTAGGTTACTTCACTGGGTTCAACCCTCGCTATTAAACTATTGAGCAATACTAGGATTGAGGATTCACGGTTTGGGGTCTACAGTCATCGGCTCGATGATAAGTGGCTTGTTGGTGGTGCTTCAAACTCTGGTGGAGCTGTTCTTAGGCAGTTGTTCAATGATGATCAGTTAGAGAAACTAAGTGAACAGATCAATCCCTTGGAAGCCTCCCTCTTGGACTACTATCCTTTGCCAAAAGCCGGGGAGAGATTCCCAGTATCAGATCCAAACTTGGCTCCGAGGTACTTGAGACAGTTTACTTTCATGAACAAATAAGAAGAGTAATCACGACTCTGATTGAGCTTATATGCATAAATACAGTTATCTTTTGTGGTCTGACCCAAAATAAGTTATGTATAATTTTTCATGAATATAATCGCTTTAAAATGGAGATTTGGCGGGCATCTCAAATTTGATATATTATCTTAATTTCATTAATAGCCTTCAAAGACTATGAAAGCACAATAATATCATTGTTCAATATTTTCCCTTTTTCATGATTTTTTTGGTTAAAATTGAGGGAAAACAATATTGAAGGGTGGTTAAAGGGCAATGAAACAACGAACCACATGGATTATAAATAGGAGGGGCTAAACTTATTTTGACTTTTGGACCTGATCACAGGGGGTAAACAGTAACTTACCCATCGTTAAAAGATGCAAGCCTCGACGGTAACTTTCAAGTTGTTTTTCCCCCCAGGGGGGGTGGGGGGATTAAATTCCTGCACTGATTTACTATATTCAACTTTTTTTGGTGTGCTTCTTTTTCTTTAATTCTGGATCTGGATAAATGAGCGAAATTCAGGTTAGTCAAGTGAAATAGCGTAAAAGATGTGAAGATTGTAATGTGTCAAAACTCAGACTAGTACCAAACGGTGTGCATGGCGTGAACCCAACTGACTGAATTCTATTGTTGGGCAGGCTCCTACCAAGACCTGAGAATGATGTTGAGTACTTGCATGGGATTTTGGAATCCATTGCGCGTATAGAGGTAATAATCTTGCTGGCTCTCTTTAGTCTCTTCGTTTCATGGTTTGCTTTAAATAATTCTTCAGTGTGCTTTATTTTTTAAAAGGGTAAACCTTTTCCCCATCATCGTAAATTCTGAAGTTGCATTATTATGAAAAGTTTTGCTTCTAAGAGACTAAAGAGGTCGAGCTTTGTATTGTAGCAACATTAAAAATCCATAGCAAGAAGCTAAACATGTAATAGAGGTTGAACTTTCTAGAACAACTAGTCATTCATAGTCCAGAGTGAGAATCTCAATATATTTAAGTGTAAGAAAACTCAATTTATTATGACAAAGCTGCCTGCAGAATTTTTTTTTCCACTTGTAATTTGTTTTAGGCCTTTAAGAAAAAATTGGTAATGCAAGGATTTAGATCCTATTAATCAAATTCTCAATTTTTTTAGAGTCAATCTCGGACAAAGAGAGGTGCAATGTGCTTATATGCGTGGGATTCACTGGAGTGTGTGCCTCGATGTACTTGGGTTCCATGCATATTTCGTCGGTTGCGTGCTTAAGCTGTATCGATTTCTTATGCAACTGGGAGGATCCAAAACCCACATGAACTAACTAGAGAGCCTAACGTAATGTTTGGGAAGTTTTTTAAAATGAGATAGGATAGCTAGAAGCTTTATGTCATTGTTTGAGAGAAATTTTTAAAAGAGTGTAATGGTTTGGGATCGTCTTTTAAACCATTGCTTGCCATCTTATACTTTTTTTTTTTACTCCCTATATATAAAATGATAAGATATAAATAATATTCTTACAAAATTAGGCTTATCCATTTCACCTCCTCACTCTTTCACTCCCTCTTACCTTAAAACTGAAAAATATAATTATATCTAATTCAAATATATTAATTTTATAATTATTCTTAAATAATGATTAAATAAAATTATTTTTTTTAATGAAGCTCCCAAATGATGAAATATTTTATTTCATTGCACTCTGATCTATTCCACTACATTCCATTATATTAATAATCATTTCTTTTCGTTTCATTATATACTCTCAAACATATCATGGAATGTATTAAACTTTATAAAATAAGGTATATATTACATTTATTTTTTTTATCAAAATAGTTTAAGCCAATTTGATAGTATTTATCTTAAAATTATATACCTTCAATAAACTTAGATTCACAATCTTCATTTTTTTGGGTCATATTTTGTTTTATCCTGTTCTTCTCTTTCTTTTTTTCATGTCCAATGATTTTGATGTCATATTAAACTTTAAAAAATAAGGTATATATCATCTTTGTTTTTTTTTTTTTTACCAAAATTACTTAAGCCAATGTAATTAGACTTATTTACGATTATATACTTTCATTTCATTCTTTAGTTAATCTATGTGAGAGTTTTTACGTTCTAAAAGAATATTGCATGATGGAATGTAGGCAAAAGCATACGCGTTGCTGAAGGAGTTAGGAGCAACCCAAGTAACGGAAGTTTTCACAGCAGGGGGTGGAGCTAAGAACGAAAAGTGGATAAAGATACGAGAGAGAGTGCTCGGTTTGCCTGTGAGTCGAGCAATTTATACAGAGGCAGCATATGGAGCTGCATTACTGGCTTTAAGAGGTGCCAATCAAAATATTTTGTGAGGTTGATCATCCATTCGCAAGCTGGTTATTTTAGCAAAGGTGATCGCGAGGCGGCCTATCTTGTGAAATGTTGATTCTAGAATTCGAGTATGTGCATCGTCTATCAGCTATTTAGATCCCTCGGTTTTCAACAGAATGTTATCAACAAAATTAGGTGTCTTATAGCCTTTAAATTAACTATTACGTCAGCTACTTAAGCTAAATATTTCATATCTCCTTGTTTTTCACCAAAATATTTTCAACAAAGGTGCCGTAACGATTGAATTAATACTATCAACTATTACTCATGCCCAAAGCACAACCTAAAGCTTTTTGATAATGTATGTCTTAATTCGATTCTATTTTTGATAAATACGCAGTTATCATTTTGATTTCATTCCACGTTAGATTTCATGTAATATTATGACACCACACTCTTGGCAAAATAAATGAAACATTAAACAAATAAGTCAATACAGAAACATGATTTAACAACTGTAGGGAAAATTATAAATCTAAAAAGAACCCTACGACACTACTAGAAATATCATGTAAAAATCATGAGCCATTCTCTCTCTACATGAGGTACCCAAATTAAATCACCTTTCCGTTGTGATAAAATGAAACTCCCTAAAAGAATGCGGAATCAAAGTTAACAGCATATGCCGTACTCGCACTGCATAGTTGCTGATCAAAAGAACTCGAAATCCCAAACCTGGATCTACCCGTTATACAACAAACTTCAATTGCGTCTGCATATCCTTTCTAGTTCTGGACTTGCTTAACTGAGTATGAAGGAAAGAGACAAGCCTCAATAAAAGAATTTCAGTCCAAGTACAAAAATATGAGAATGAACAGTTCTCATGCAATGAAAACTAACTAGACAAAAAGATAAAAATCAAGTGATAATCACAAGGACGACGTAGGTATCTATATCACAGCAATTCATTCTATGGCAAGAACACATTATCCACCTTTAAGCACAAATAGAGCATACACGTACAAAATCCACAGGGTAAGAAACCAAACCCAACAGGAAAACCTAGAACACTTCCGCCACTTTGCTTGCGAGGACCCCCTCCCTTCTTTCAATATAACCGAATGGAAACCAACCTGCTTTTCCTTTGCATTCACCCTCAGCCCATCCATTGTTGGTGACCTGTTAAAAACCAAATTAGAATCTTTTAATCCATTTGACGACAAACAGATACAAGGATTGAGGTTGCCTCCACCAAAAATCAAAATAAAAAACAAAGCAAGTTCTTCTGCATAGAAGGATTCAAGAACATGAGAAACATGCACGCACTGAACTTGGCGCACTTAAATAATAATCACCCAGTGCATTACAAATCTATGACCAATCAGATATACAAGCACTGTGACATGTCAGCTACCATGGGTAGGAAGTTGTGGAACATGTACCACATCAGTGTTGAACCATTGACAACATTCATGTTCTGACACCATATTAGATCACCAATTCTGCTAGAAGATTCATTCTTCGTATTAACTGACACTAGTTTTATGACATAAAATTGTTTGGAATTTACCAAAGTAATGCAAATCAAAGCATTTCTCCTAGTCCTGCCAAAGAGAGGCAATCCTTCAAGTGAAATAGAAATCAAAGACATTATTTGCAATCTAATGCTTAGGATTCAGCAAGCCACAAACCTTCCGAACAACAACATAATCACCAACTGCAAGATTTAGCTCCACATCGGACACAGCATGGTATGGAAACATTGCCTGCAATGAGAATAAAAATACAACTCAAAAACTGGTATTTAGCCGCTCATTTTTCAACAAGCAATTTAATATCCTTATTCGCAATATTCACAAACCTCTCCTAAGAAGTAACCCATGCTATCCGTTGATCCATTATGAATCTGAGAAGCATAGACACCATTTGCTTCTTCATATGATGGGGGTGGAGGCATGCTGCTATCCATGCTAGGAGTAGGAGGGGCCTCAATACCTTGTCGTTCAGATATCATCTATCAAATCATTAAATATAAATAGCACACAATCATATGTCAACAGCAAAATAAATGACCCAACTTTCTGATGTCACATTTGACTAAAAATTCAAACAGATTTGTTTAAGATCAAGGAATATGGTATCTTACCTCTCCCTCAAGCTGATCAAGTATTTGGAGAACTCTCTGATGATAGGCACGCTCTGCTTCAACCTTCATAAACAAATAAAGAATGTTGGATTATCTGGGAGTTATAATTTCTTTCGGCTCAGGACCCATCAAATTGAATAGCTACAGCATCACAAGGTGAAACAACAGCTATAATACCATAGCTATAAGACGCTGAAGGGTCAACCTCTGTTGCTGTGCTTCAACAGCAGCCATTGCTGCAGCTGCTTCCTTCCCCAAAATGGCCATGTTTGACTTCAGATCTTGCAGCTTTGCTTCAGCTGCTTCCAACTTCATACCATTCTCAGGATTGCCTGGTGTTTCCCTTATTTTTGCTTGCCGCTTTGAGACCTCAATAGCCTGTCTAGGTTCAAAAAGCAGTGTCATTACAAGTTCAGTGAGAAAATAAAAGCTACTATTGCTGTTACCAGAACATAAAACAATACTTCCTGACATTTGTTGGAAAATAAGAAAACTTGACAATAAATGCATGACAACTATAAAGGAAAATATAAATGACATAAAGAAAAAGGAAAAAGAATGAACAAATTCCAGAATACCTGGGCTTCAGCTTCCTGTCGCATTCTATCATAACGTTGAGCTAGATGCCGAGCATCCTCCAATGGAGCTCCCATCACCATTGCTCTTAAGGGCTCTGCAACCTAAGCATTGAGCAAGACTATAATAACAGAAAAATAAAGCCATAAAAATGAAGCCAGGAACACATCAAGCAAATCAACAATCCAAGTCAGTATATAATTACAGTGAGAAAGCTGAAAATGCATGGCTCAAAAGTTAAATCCAATCAATGTTGGATCAGTTCAGTTAAGAAACAAGTCAAATTAAAAACCAGAAATTCACATTCACACAAGTAAAACCATTTCAGCTAGAAGTTAAAAAAAAAAAATGTTATGACTAAGGAAAAGTCAGATTTGAATCCTGCAATTCTACAAATACAGCTACCAACCTGATGAACTCATACACAGCACCAAGGAAAGTATTGGTTAATCTCACCAGTCCCACTCCTTTCCTCCTTTTAAGGGGTATAACTATAAATAATGATAGGACTAAATAAGCTGAATAGAATATATAGCAGGAACCACGAAAACAACTAAGGACTCCAAAACAAAATTGTGGAAATTGAACACATAACATTGACACTTCAAATTTCAATTGGATGGCGGAGAAAAAAGCTGCAGTAGAGCACACTAGAATTGCTAAAATTCACTCCAATCAAGAGACAAAAGGCAGGACCTTAATCTGTTGGTATCATGGAGCTTGGATATAAGAAGCGCGTCAAAAAGGGAAAAAGACATGACAGTGACCACTTTAGATTTCTTGAAGCCCTATTTTTTACACACAACCATAAGTATCGAAATGAAGCCTGTCCATGTCAATGTGCCAGCATAATTTTTATCAGACCTGTGTGCCTAGGGCTTTTAGCAAATTCCCACGCTCCTTTTCCATTTGAGCACGAGCACGTGCATAACTTAGGGCAGCTCTAGATAATGTATTGCCACTGGTACATGTATTTTCCGCACCATATTTCCTGCTATCTTCTGACAACTTTGTTCCTTTTAAACAAGATGCATGCAATTGAACAGCATTGTGAGGTTCTGTAAATTAAATGTCAGAAAAATTAATTAAAATTTCACCAACCAATGCTACTAACCTATTTCAACTTGCTTGGATCCAGTAACAATATAACCTTCTACACCACGGACAATATCCCTTTGATAATGCTGAGCGACAACACATGTTATCATGTTATCAACAGTTAGTTGAGGGGACCAATTGAGATAAAAGATTCCTGAGAATAAAAAAACTGGCATAGGAGGACCAAGTAACCTTTCCTGCCCGTGTTGATATGTAGAGCTTCTCAAGTTTCTGATGTTGTTGGAGCTCTATCTCATCAGTAATCACATTATCTGAACCTCCATATCCCCCTGCCCCAAACTGTTTCAGGACAGCCTATATAACAATAAATGTAATTTAACACCTTAACAGACGACAGGAGCAAAATGTTTAACATTTAAGAACAGGAAAAAGGATCCAGAAACAAGTTAAAGCCTAATCACTGAAATGGAACTACATAAGTATAATTACAGATGAATACTTTTATACATGCCCCACCCACCCTATATCCCGACTAGCATCAAGGATGAGATGCATTTTGGGTAGCATACTTATAAATCAGGGTTCGTATGCTAATAACTCTGCAGTCAAAGTGCATATCTTTTGGCTTTTGAATTTTGAATCTTAAATGAATCATATTAGATACTAAAGGATCAAAGCACCAAAAAATTCAACAAAAGGGTTTGAGTTTTTAAATTTTTTGATACGTGCATGCAGATAAGTTAACTTTAATTTTTTCACAGTTGATTATTAATGTTTGCATGCATATACATTATTGTTTAATAATAATCTTAATTATTTTAAATCATCCTCTGTCATGCCCTTATGTTAAATTTTTAAAAAGAAAAAAAAAAGAAAAATTGTTGTATCTCTAAATTGTGATACTCAGCACAAAAGATGATCACAGCATAAAGTATCATTAATGATTTACTAAATTTTGTAGACGACGGTTCTTATTCTTTTTACTACTCTCAAAGTTGACACAATTTCCCTGATATGGCCATACTCCAGATAATCATTCCTTGCAACAGATTGATTCAAAAACTGAAGCAGCTCAAATAATCAACTCAATATTCAAGCTATCTCCCTTTAAGTCTTCAGCACGTCTTGAGAAGACGCCTAACCTATTTTACATATTCGTTGGCAGAAAAGGAGCAACAAATTGCTTGCGCAGCAGCTATTCAAATTCCAGAATATTAAAAGATTCTGAGTTTCAAAACCAAGTTCAAGCAAGCTAGGCTACTATCTTAAAATTCAAACGTAACCGAGCTAAGCTACTATGTAAAAAATTCAAACTCTCATCTCACGTCCACGCAGTGTAGCTTTTATCGATTAATTATCGCAATGCAAGTACCAATTTCGATAGATCCAGTGCCCGCCGGTACCATGTTCTTGTGAAGAGTAACTATAATCTAAGTTAAACGCTACTATCGCTACATTCAGAAACGCATGGAAGATGCAAGAAGACGGTTGCATAAGAAAAATATTAAAATAGCAACAGACGGTGGCATTAATGAAGAACAAACGATAGCTATTCGAAGATGAAATAATTTCATAGGACTTACTAATAAGATAAAATCTATTGCAGCGATTTATTTACATCGATCAAGGAAAGATCTGGCTAGAAATCTAGAATCGCAAGAACAAATAGGTTTTTGCTTTCAGAATGAGAAATAACCTGTTGTTGGCGAGCCACCTGTTCTCGGAGCTTGGAGGCTTGCTTTCTGATAGCATCCATTCACCTCCGAATGGATTGAATCTGCTCGCCGATCGGTTTCGGACCAACGCCACCAGCAGCAATGAGATCGTATAGAAAGAGAGAGAGAGAGAGAGAGAGAGATTCAAACTTGTATTTGGAATAGCACCTGGAGATTCAATTCGGCTGTGGTTCCTTGGCGGAGACATTTCTGTTTGTTTTATTGTCATTTTAATTAATTTAATATTATTGACAAATCTAGAAGCATGGGGAAGTCGATTTTTTTAATTATATTTATATTTCAAAATCATCTTATTAAGTTTTCATTATAATTTTTTAATTTATATTAAAATTTATGCGCCACCAATAATTTCTATAATGTTGATTATGAAGTGTGCGTTTTTAAAGAATGGCAAACCGAACTTATTTAATTTTTAAACATGACTAATGAATTTTAAAACTTTCCTTAATTCTAATCAAACATGTCAGGAGTGCAAGAAAATATTATTATATTATTGAAATAAAAAAATTAAATTTTATTAATTTTATTTAAAAATTAAATAAGTTTTCAACATTATTCTCATTAAAAATATATACTTTAATAATATACTTTCTCTCATTAATTTTAATCATGTAGCTTATAAATATGATAAAAAATGTTCTTTCCCTACCTTGTATACCTTGTATATAAGATCAGGAGGTAAATCAACTCAATATTCAATCAACATTATCAATTTAATTTATAAATTATCAGCACTAACATATAATATACTCCTTTTATTTAAAAATATAAAGTATTTTTTGATAAGTTGGATGTTAAAAAATGTAAAGCAATTTTAATCTTTCGATATGTAATTATTATATTTTTTTCAAAAATGCCCTAGTGATAATAACTTTATATTTATTATAAGATGTTTAATAGAAGTAAATATAAAAAGATAAAATTAATTTAAAAGTAGGTAACTAAAATTCAGTTAAAAATTTCTTAGAGTATAAAATATCTTAACATTGTTCTCAAGCTAGCCATGATGTTGCTCTATCTTGAATTCCTCCAAACTTTTTTTTTAAATAATAATTTTATCAACTAAAGTATACTCTTTTTTTTTTAGCTTTACAAAAGATTTCATTTTGTTCTCTTAATTTTAAAAAGTACACTTTTAATCCTTTAATCTTAATACTGTTTCATCACAAATAAATTTTATATTAAACTTTTAATTATTGATAAAATATTTTCAAATATTGACTTATTAAATTTATTTTCTTAAATAACAATAATTGGTATAAAAAATAATCACTTAAAATTAATGATGATAAGATTAAAAGATTAAAAATATATTTTATAAAATTAAGAGATTAAAATAAAATTTTATGTAAAATTATTCGACCAAAAGTATATTTTACCCTAACTTTATATATGCATTTTAGAAGTTTCGTAACATCAGTTTCTCAGTTTCCTCAAAAATGATGGCTTCCAAGCATTGGAGTGAAAATTGAGCAAAGTAGCACATCATATTCTAAACTCTACATTTATCAAAAATAAAAACGTATATTACATTCGTTGAAATTAAAGATAAACGAGGGAGATAAACATCGAGGTCAAATATAAATTTTACATGTCGACAGCGCTTTTAAAAAATAATAATAAAACTATTGTTTCGATGATTTCAAATGTATCATGTATGGATATATAAACTATGAAAGCAATTCACTTTGATCCAAGCTTAGCTTGATCTGATATATTTATATATTCAAGCTTGTCGAAGAAGGTGACTTAGTGCCATGGTAACCACTGACTAAACAGCTTGCATTTCACGCCTTCTTTCCAGCGTTGCTTTGCCACCCTTCGCTAGACTTTGATGCTTCTCATTATGCGTGTCTTCTGCTTTGTTCGTCCCAAAACCAAAGGACATAACGTAACAAAAGGTCGGCAACATGATTGCCGTATTATCAGCAGGATTCACAGTCCACGGAGCTCATATCATTAGACATTGTAACCACTAAGTGCTCATTTGGATTGGAGTTGAACAAATAAGATTATATATAATCATAATGATTAAAAGTGACATTAATTAAAAAGTGATGTTGATAAGTCATCATTTTTGTTTGGCTATTCTTTTTTTTTTTTTAAGTGGCTATAAGAAAGTTAGTCCTATTTGAATCGTATTCATTGAAATCATGTTTGGATATATAATTACATAAAAGGTATGATTTTTATAAAGTTGTTCACTTTTCTATAATTATTATTATCACATATAATTTAATAAAAATTCAATCATGATTTTCTGGACGCAAAATCACCTCTTGATAACTTCTATTCATTATGCAGTGAAGAAATCAAATCGTAGCCGATCAGGACTTTTAAAAAATTGTCCAAATAGTTCAAATGAGCTTCATAATCACTTATATGGACTTAGACGATATTATATAGGCTTTCACCACTAAAGCAAAGTGGCACTGACCTCTTCAGCTTTAATTAGATGATATATATTTGGCATTTATTATTTTCCCCCTTATGTTGAAAAGCTAATCAATAGGTTAGTTTAGTTCTGTTGCAATTTTAAAGTCTATATCATTAAGTGATGGACCCAAAAAGTTTTAGAATATTCTCATGTCCTTATTATAGAGCACCTTTTAAAAATATTGGTTGGCCCTTAACATTAAGATGGAGAATTCTTTGAAATCATCTGATTCTCTTGCTGGTGGAGGAAATCGATGCACTAGCTTGAAATAAAAAGAAAACACATAAGGCAGACAAATTCTTCTCAAGTTCCTTTTTGAGGGTGCCTTGAGTAGAGGAATGGATGGTTGATGGTGAAAAGGAAAGCTTGTGCAAACAAAACTAGTAGGAGATGCATCTTATGATGAAGGAGATCTTTATGAGGAAAACTATAAGGAAGAGGACGAGATTGACTGTGGTAGTTCGGATACTGGGTTTACTAAAGTGCTTGAGCTGAACAAAGGGATTATGGTGGACATGTCTAACTCCTCATGCCTAAACTTTATCCTAAATGAAACTGAAAAGGAACGTATCTACAGACCCTTCAAGCTAGCACTAGTTGTGAAGCTCATGGGAAAACCACCAACATTGTTTCTCATGAGAAAGAAGTTAACCTAACTTTAGGCTCGAAAGGGTTAGGTTAAAACAAGTGATATTCATAATAACTACTTTCTAGTGCAATTCAAAGACGCGGGAGATTTCAAGGAAGCTTTGACTGGAGGTCCCTAGGTGATAAATGATAGCTATCTTATACTTACCACTTGGTGTGCTTATTTTGATCCTTACACAGAGAAGATCGGTCATATAGCCTTATGGGCGAGACTTCCAAACCTCCTAAGGTCGTATTATGAAAAAAAATTATTTATACTGGGTAATGTCGCAGGAAGGGCCTTAAAGGTTGACTTGTTGATGGCAATGAGAGAGAGAGAGAGAGGGAAGTTTGCTAGAATATGTGTAGAAGTTAACCTGTCAGAACCTCTTGTTCCTTATTGCAGTATTGAAGGTGTTGAGAAACAAATTGACTATAAAAGCATCCACTTGCTTTGTTTCTCTTATGGCAAGTATGGTCATATAAAGGAAGCTTGTCCGATGAAGAAGACAATGGCTTATCCCTACCATGGAAGCCAAGAGAACAATGCTCATCTCACTAAGAAGAAGGAAGGGACACCAAAAAACTGAAACTTGTTGGAGGAATCAGAATGGAAGCTAGTTCACTAATATGAATATGAATTTGTACAAATCACAGTTTAAGATTTTATTTGATATGCGATCATGGCAACAATTGCGAACCACTACAAGAAATCACCAACAATCAGCTCCCAACAGGGCATGGGGCCTTAACAAAGAATGGTACCAAACTTAAAACAAGTAGACTGAGATAGAAAATTAATGAACAATATTACTAGAAATTGGTTAAGGCAGCTACAGAGGGCCCATCCATAAGTACGTATAAAGAGCCTGGGTTAGATGTAGGCTTGATCTAAAGTAAGACCAATAATGTCCACACTTCAAATGTTCCAAATATCTCTAAGCCTGCTTATGTGGGCTTGCCTCAAAACAAGAGCCCATTTGAAAACTCTCTACCCACACAGCTTGTAACATAAATGAACCAAATAAATGAGAAGGAAGTTATAGCAATTAACATACCTGACTCGAGTCCACGAGGAGACATGAAAAGAATCATAAAGATTAACGGGAAGTTTCAAAATGAAAATAAGGCAACCTTACATACAAAGCATGGATCAAATATTTCACTTAACTCGTCTACACAAGATATAAAGGAATTTATTGATGCCACGTATCCTGAAAATGATGTCATGAAGGAGGATAAAGCTGTGATGCTTTTAGATGATGAGGAGGAGTTTGACAGGGAGATGGAATCCTAAGATCCCTTGTGCGCTTTTATTGGTTAGTTTATTATTAAATTTTATTTTATGGTTTTAATGAATATTATGATATGGAATGCGAGAGAAGCAAATAAGGATGATTTTGCTCATTCACTTAAACAAATTAGAAGACTGTCTAGGATGGATATCATATGTGTTCTTGAACCTCAAAGCAGTGGCCCTCAAGCTCAATAGACCATTAAAAAATTGGGGTTTAGATTTAGTGAAATTGTCAAAGCAAATGACTTTGCAGGAAGAATTTGGCTATTTTGAAATAGTGCTAATTTAAACATTGTCACTCTAAATAAGCAAAGACAGTTCTTACGTATTTTTTTATGACAATCAAAATCCTTAAGAGTGTTTTTTACGTTTATGCTAATCCATATGAAAACAATAGACGAGATCTTTAGCTTGTTCTTCAGTACAAGATTTCTAGAAGCTAATAGCCTTGTTTATTAGGGGGAATTTTAATGAAATCACTACTATATTAAAGCAAAAGGGTAGGGTTAAGTTTAATCACATCAGATGTAATGCCTTCATGGACTAGATTAATCATTGAAAATTGATTGATTTACAGTTTAGTGGCTCGTTATTCACTTAGAGAGGCCCTAATTAAAAAATTTTGGATCGTGTATATAAGAGGTTGGATAGATTTATTTGTAATGTTACTTGGAAAACTACATTTCTAACTGCTCATTACAAGGTTCTTCCCCATATAAAATCTAATCATCATTTTATTATGGTTAGTTTTTGTTATAGAATAGAGGGGAATATGAATCGTTCGTCCCATTTTGAAGTAGCTTGGCTTAC